AAGATAGGGGAACAAACCCAAAGAGATAACCAACTTGAAAGTGTGATCTTGAAGTATTAATGTTATGAGATAATGAGAGATCTCAGGTGTAAAAATTGGGATATAACAGAGTAAGTCACAACCCTAATTGAGGAACGATCACCTGAACTTCTTGATTCAAAATCCTAGCTTGTAAAAGAAACAAAACGAACAAGACATATTTTTGAATTTTGGTTAGAGGTTAGTGAAATATAAACCATAAAAGATATAAAAAAAACAAATAGGTGCTTAGTGATCCCTGTAAAGGCAAACTCAAAGAGAAAGAGGGAATGTAGTCATAACCCTAATTGAGGAACGATCACCTGAACTTCTTGTTTCAAAATCCTAGCTTATAAAAGAAACAAAACGAACAAGACATATTTTTGAATTTTGGTTAGAGGTTAGTGAAATATAAACCATAAAAGATATATAAAAAACAAATAGGTGCTTAGTGATCCTTGTAAAGGCAAACTCAAAGAGAAAGAGGGAATGTAGTCAAGCTTATAATCTTGATGTGATACATAATGCAAAATGACATGGGATCTTAGGGGTAAAAATTAGGGTATGACTGACAGGGGTTCAACATCCAGCGCTTGGATTTTTTAAGATTTCAATACATTTCACCACAGTTCTAGATTCCTACCATAGTGAGAGACTTAGCCCACAACATTTTACAACGGTCCTAGATTCCATCTGTGAAGATATGCTTATTTAAATTTATTATAACTTATGTTACATGTTTATTTCACAAACTACTCACTAAGAATATAACCTTTCTATCTAATTTAGAAATAAAGAATATGACAAATTAAGTTATATTAGAAAAACAAATTACACTAATCAATATTGTACAAGTTTTATACAACCTATTATCCATATTTTGCTCTTTAACGGCTAGAACTTGTTTCAATGCTTCTAATTCGTCTACTAACACTTCATTCACCTCTAGTTCATTATGCAAAATATTATTTACTTTACAGACAAAATTAGAGGTGAAAAAAGAAGCGATAGTAGAAGAACAAGAAGAAATGAACTAAATTATAACTGTTAAAGAGTGAGATATGAATAATATACTGCAAAAAGCTCGTAAAACAATGATAAGTATAAGTTATTTTCTAATATAACTTAATATCTCATATTATAATTTTCTAATTCAATTCAAAAGGTTATATATTCAATAAGGGGTTGGAAAAATACACAAACATTTAGGCAATGTACAAGGTATACCATTAATATTAACACAAACATTTACAATATACCTAAAAAAACATCAACAATAACATAAACATTTAAAACATACCTAAACAGACACATCAACAATAACACAAACATTAACCTTTATAAACTAAAACTAAAACTTACCTTAACAAAACAACAAGATACCTCAACAAAAAGATCAACATATTTCAACAAAAAGATCAACATATTTCAACATAAAGATAAAAGAACAAGATACACAAACAACAACAAACGATTTATGAGCTACACAAAATAACAAGATACACAAACAACAACATATAAGAGCTAAAAAACATCAATATGCCTAAACAATAACGTTCAATTTAACACAAACAACAAAACTATTTATGAGGTCAAAAAAATAATAAGATACACAAACGACAACGTATATGAGCTAAACAATAACATTCATAATAACACAAACTACACCAAACAATTTATACAAAAATTACGACATACCTCAACAAAAACATCAACATATCCCAAAAAAGACATCAAAAATATCACAACTCATAACATAAAAGGTGAAAACATCTCACATACCTGAAATGATAAGAGGATGTCAAAGAAATGAGTTTGGTGTTTTCGTCTTGCATGTTGTGTAACAGATTTCCTTGATCAGTAAGAGTTGTAGAAGATATGTTGAAGTTTTGTGAAGAAATGGTGTGCAAAAGTTAATGGAGATTAGGATAATGCATGAGAGAGATGTTAGGGTTTTGTTTTATGATAGATGAATGTTATTTACTTAAACGAGAGAAATTTCGCTTATATATAGGTAACACATTTTACCACGGTTGATAAAAATGACCGTGACGAAATATTGATATGTTTCACAATGATTTCTATTTTAGATCGTGGTGAAAGATATTTTAATTTTAATATAAATATAAAATTATAAGTGACACGTTCATTTATAACTAAAAAAGAAAAATTGCAGGTGATAGGATTCGAAGCCTATCACTTTAGATACTTTTCATTATGGTTGTTTGGTTTGACTATGGTGAATTATATTTAAAAAAAAATCACTTTCTAAATGCTAGAGACCAAAATAGTTAATATATTATATAATAGAATCATTCATCTCCTTTTAGACGTTTGATTCTGGTTGCACAAGTGTATTTCTCTCGGATCTAAGCTATATAAGAAATTCAGTGCACAATTTTCTTTAATTAGAATAGGAATTGAAATTTTGCAACTTTACGAATGTGTGATTTAGATACATATAATAAATAATTTTCAATTAATAAAATTCTCCTTATCGATTCAATAGATGCATATAAATAAAATAGAATATGAACCTTAGAATATATGAATTAGTGAATCAAGTTTTATTAATTTGTCTAATATAATTTTCTCTTGACTCTACTTATTTTTGGTTCATGCTTATTAATATGAATTATTTCCTTTCTAAGTAATATTTGTTCCACTTTTGCATTGAAACAGACACAGTTAAATTTTTTAGGGATTAATTAGCGTTAAATCTAGAATGAAGATACAGAGTTGTAAGCGTAAAATATGTTAGATAAAACTCTGCAATCTATCAGATAAAGCAAATTTTAAATTTTTATCATAATGAAAGATAATCCTTATGGGCCTTTAATCCAAAATATAATTAAATAAATAAAACAAATAAAACAAAAATTGTTGAAATTGTAGAAAATAGTAAAATATTATTTTCGGTTCTGAAACAACTCTAGTAGCTTAGAAATCCACAAATAACGTCCCAGTAGTGAGATGGAATCATGGGCCAATTCCATTTTCGAAAAGGTATAATACGAGTCATTTTGACATTAGATGCCAAACTTGCGCAAATTCTCCCGAACAATTTCGACGCGCGACTTCTCCTTCGATATGCGCAGCCAACTCTCCTATATCAATATCCTTCATCTATGAAGAACTCAACCTAGAGTTCTCTTCTTGATAAAGAGATTCATCTGGCTGCAGCTTGTTGTAAGTACCAACTAGAAACTTATTCTTACGCAGAAACGCCATCACATCTACTCTCAGATTGAAAATTTTAAATTTCATGCGTTTATCTCGCATAGGAGGCAAATAATTTGGTAGCTCATCTTCGATGAACTCCTTGAAATCCTTTAGGACCCCTAGAACTTCTTCTAGAATTACACTCATCACCTCTTTAGTCATTACTTGACATAAAAATTTAGTTTCTTTAATAGCCTCATCAAACTCCTTTTCACATGTGTCATCACCAAGAAACTAGACTTCTTTCCTCTTGGATTCTTATCAAAGTGAAAAATAGGAGTTATAGAAATTTTATGTGTAAACATCATCATGTTAAGGATATCATTATAAAACTGCCAAGGTCTACCAAGTAAAATATGACAAATATCCATACCAAGATTTCTATCTTTTACATCATTAATTTGAAAATGTTCCACCTCTTAATCCATGTCATGATTTTCACCTATGCTTACAAGCACATCAAAATCTAGTAGCTTTGAATTTTTACTTAAAAGGCATTCTCCTCATATTTCAAAGCAACTGCAATTACAAAAGGATCTTCACTTACTTTAGTTTAAGAATCAAATTTAGTAGAAATACCAATAGGATCAAGCCGATTTTTGCAATTGATTATGAGACACTCATTTCATAAACGCCCTTTTGTATCTCCTTCACATATACTTAATTCATCATCACCATAATTTACTTCAGTATTCTTTGATGCCCGTTTGACAATTTTTGACCTTGTCTCTTTAACAGAAATTGTCTCTAACTTCTTTAGTTTAGGAATTTTACTCCTAGGTTTGCAAGGTATAGAGCTTTCTGTAAGCTGTTTAAACTAAAATCTTTTACCTGTAAAAATAAATCAATGAAAGGAGATGATTTTTATAGGCCTGATGATTTTACTATCCTTGTTTGATGCATTGTTTGACCTATTCTAGATGGTGAACGTATAACAAAAATTGGATTGTCCAAAAATTTTCGACCCTAACTTTTCCTCCTCTCCTGTCTCTTCGTTGATTCACACTGTTGTTGGCGTTGTTCACCTGAGTGCTAAATTCTCCATCTGTTTCGTCAAAGCAGTTAGAGTCGCGGTAAAAATCGTGATAATTCCCTCTCTGATTGCAGGTTGTTCTGCCATAGTTTTCAAGCTACAAAAAGAACAGGAGAAACCTTCTCTGATGCCCACTGACTACCCTAAAATTTTAGGGATTAACAAACGCTAAACCTAGAATGAAAATACAGGATTACAAGCGTAAACCCTAACAAATAAAGCTTTGGAATCCACTAGATAAAAAAAGTTTGAATTTTATTATAATGAAAGATAATCCTTATTTCCACGCCAAAAGTATTTAAATACAGAAAACAAAGAAATTCTAATGGGCATTTAATCCAAAACAGAATTAAATGAATAAAACAAATAAAATAGAAATTGTTGAAATTGTAGAAAATAGTAAAATGTTGTTTTCGGGCCTGAAACACAATCTAATGGCACGAAAAGTCATAGACCTCCGCATTGCAATTTGTTGAAACCGTGGGCCGATTCTCTTTCTAAAAAGATATAATACGAATCATTCTGACATCCGATGCTAAATTTACGCAAATTCTATCGAATTATTTCGACACACTTGCGCGCAGTCAACCCTCCTACATCAGAATATTTAAATATAGTAAAAAATGATATTTTTATATTTTTACTTGAATGATTGCATCCGACATTTAGTTTCAATCTAAGAATATAATTTACCTAGAAATCATGCAGCTTTGTAGACAAGTTCATCTTAATATGCTTCATTTGACATCAATACCTTAAGGTCTGCATTGGTTACTCTCTATAAAAAATAAAACATTAAAGTCAGATAGTAGGTACAAAACCATCTCGAATAATCAATTTGAATGCAATAATATTTTCATTAGCCTCATATATAAACACAATTGAATTAAACTAAGTTTGTTTCCAAAACAACCGTTTAGATAAGAAGTTAATTAAGGTCTTATTAAGTACAAGTTACTTTGGGGAGTTTTATATCAATTATTTAGAAGAAGCTTTAAATGTTAAAAATAGTTGATTAGTATAATTAAGTTTTATAAATTATTTCTAAATGCCTACAGAATCATTGACTCTTATATCTGTATTTATATTAATTCATAAGAGAAACGTAACTAGTTCTTAACCTTTTTTGTCCCAGCCAATAGCTTGAAATTCTTGAACAGAATCTCAAATTCATCATCATTTAGTATATAACCATGCTGAAATAACACATAATAATTTGTGAAACAAAGATAACAAATATATAATATGTTTTTATTGTTTATCAATGAATGATGATTACCTCTTCAATTCTCTTTCTCAACGCTCGACGTCCACTATTTATAATTAAGGTAAAATAGTTAACAAAATAGAGAAAGTATGTCACAAATTTGTAGTTACTAATGAAATTAGTCATTTTCAAACTAAAAGCAAAATATAAAAGTATTCTTGGTCAATTCCAGGAGTATTCTTTTTTATATCAGCAATGAATTTTCCATATTCAAATGGCATTGTTACGCCTACAGTGTCAGGTATGACTACAGTGGTTGCCCCGACTTTAATAACTTCTTCCAAAACTTGATAAAGGAATTGCTTCTCCGATCTAATTCCACAAAGCACAAGCATAAATAAACATATACCAAAATAGTATTCTCAAAAAATCAAGCTATGCTGGGTAATAACCTGGTAGCATCTTCCGCAGCAAATGAGATATCACTGCAACCTAAACTCTGTGCAAACTTCACCGTATCACGAGCCATATTGAGTACCTCATCTTTCGTCTTTCTAAGTTTGTACTCCATGTGAATGGGACTAGTGGCTATAAAAGCACATATTCTTGGCTTTTTTGCATGTTTTATGGCCTCCCATGTAATGGCAACCTCCTTCTTATTGCACCTACACACACCACATATAACAGGAACATAACCATCATTATCAACATCATTGCCAACATCTTCAGCTATCATTTTAACCGCATTGAAGTCATCACTGGAAGCAGAAGGGAACCCTGCCTCTATGATATCAACGCGTAGCTTTACTAGTAAGCGTGCAATCTCGAGCTTCTCTTTGCAAGACATTGCGGCACCAGGGGATTGTTCGCCGTCACGGAGGGTGGTATCCAATATTCGAACGTAGTTTGGTATAGGAATTTGGTTTTGAATGTGTAAAAGATTATCGTTTGGTGCCATAGGAGATTTTTGAGTTGTTGAAAACTATACACGGTGAAATTGATATGTTTTGCTTCTAATTTTATGTCACTCATTTATAGAAATGGATCAGCTACTACCTTTTTTCCTGCTGTCCCTTTTGCCCTTTATTCAATGGCTCAGAGTTAATTTTAAAAAAAGTTAATGAACTTTTTGTTCTTTTTAAATATTTCAAACTTCATAGTTTTTAGTCTGGCTATAAATCTATTATCTATCTATTATCTATCTATTAAAAGTAAAGTATCTGAAAATTTCAAGTCTAACATTTTGATTAGATGTTATAACTTTTCTTATTCCAATGGTATAATAGACTAATCAACACTATAGTGTTACCATAGTCATTTGACATTTAATTTTGCTGACATGTCAATCTATCATAATTTTACACTATTTTTTATTTATTTGATTTATTAATTTATTTTATTTATATTTGAATTTTATTTATATTTGAATTCCAATTCCAATGTTATTTGAATTTTATTATTGGAATTAGAATGAATTATTTTGATATTCCAAGATATCACAACTTCCATGTATTCTAAACCCTATATATAGTCATTTTAAACTCTTACTATTTCACTCCTCAATCTTCTTCATTCTCCATTATTTTTAAAAGGTTACGTATTATTTTCCAATTCTTACGTTGATATGCGATCATTTTCTGGTTCTATAGAAGAATGTTTTTAACAATATATGTATATTATTATTGCTTTCATATTTTGTATGTCATATCAACATTGGTTTTGGCATAATATATTTTTCTACTGCAAATTATGTTGGCCTATATTTTAATGAAATTTATTTTACACCAAATTCTAAGTTGTTTTGAATGTAGCATTGCCTCTAGCAAACACACTACTCTAAGTTTCGTTCAATTAACATATTTACAATCTTTTTTAAATAGAATTTCTCTTCTCCTAAAGAGAAGATAATAACCTACAAGTTGATGTTGATGTGCCTTCAAAATTCTAATTTATTTTGAATCGAAATTATAATTTTCATTTGTCGTGAAATTTGAATAAAAATTTTATTTTGTATTGATATTTTTTTATTTTTAATTGCTATAATTTTAGAAACAAATATTACAATTTTTAATAAAATATTTACGATTTATTTTTTTAAAGTACGACTAATTAATATATTTTTATACAATATTAAAAACAAATATTACAATTTTTTAATCAAATATTGGAGTACCATTTAATTCGATACTTTACTCATATATCTTTTGAATGGAGACATTATTATCATTTATTTTTATTATACTTATATGGAAATTATTTTGAATGGTGACATAAATATATTTAATTTTTATATATGATTTGATTCCATAAAATATTATAATCAATAAAATTTGAATTCTCTTTTAATATTATAAATATTATAGGTTTGATGCTGTTTCATATTGTAGGAATATTATATACATTAGAATATATAAAGATATGAAAAAAATTAAATCAAAACTTTACAAATATATCTTTTGAATGGAGGTATTAATATTATTTATTTTTATTATATATAGAAAATATTTTGAATGGTCACATTAATACATTTTATTTTTATGCATGATTTGATTTCAAAAATTTATGCTCAATAAATTTTGAATAGAATTATAATTTAACCAATAAAATTTTTCTACCGACTTCTAAATATATTTGTGTATATTTTTTGAAATGTTACATTTATATTCTTGAATCATGATAAAAAAATATTAAATGGTAATCATGAAAATTTAATGATAAATGATAATCATAAAAATTTATGATAAAATAAAAAATTATTGATACAATCATTTTAATAAATTAAATAATTTATAATTAATTTTATAAAAGTGAATAAATTACAAATAATTTTATAAATGTAATAAATTAAACTATTTATAAAATTATTTATATCAATAATAGTAAATTACATATATTTTAATAATGGACACACGAATTCAACATGCTTATAAACCGGAAAAAAGTTACAATAATTTTATAAACAGGAATAAGTTAATGTCATTTTATATAAATTAATGATATAATATAATGTATTAAATATTTATATAACACTTTATTAAATAAATTTATTTCATGAAATTAATTTTATATAATATCATTAATATTTAATTATTGAAAATTCGCAATAAACTGAAAAATATTTATTACAAATCGAATATAATAAAACATAAGAAATAAATACATAATTTTGAAATGTTATATATGATTCATTGTAATAATAAATGTTAAATTAATATTTAATATTATAATAAATTTTCCGATATTCTTAGATTTAATTTATTCTTTTTCCCGTATATAATAATAATATTATATTATTATTTAATATTATAATTTTTGATTGACAATAATAAATTCATTTTAATTAGTTAGACATTAAGATAATAAATTTAATATATATCACTAATACACGATATTTATTTATAAATGTAATTAACTAAGAGACACATATTTATCACCGTTGAATAAATAAATTTAAGATGATATGGTAAATATTTATTTTTACAATTATTTTTTACAATTATTCTGCCAATTACGTGAAACTATTCTTTACATACAATTATTTTTTACGCGATATTTTTTACATAATTATTCTGCCTATATTTCATTTTCGGTTTCCAAAGTGAAACTAACAGAATTGCAGCTATCGGACAATGCGTTATAGAATCTCACACTAATTGAGATTGAGAACATGATGCAATCGAATCGAAGAAGTTTGCATGAATTTAAATGTATGCCGTATCCAGATTCATACATCACAAAACATGTTGGCAATAGGCTTATTTATGGCGAACTTAATTACGATGCCGATACCGAGAAACAGAAATTCCAAGAACTTTTTCATGCCCTTACAGGTGATTTATTTTCTTTATACTATGAATTACAAAAATGATTTTTATTGTCCTTGCACTTATAATTCTTGGTTTGTATTTTATAGATGAACAACGTTTGATATTTGAGAAAATCATGGATGCTGTTAACAAACAGAGTGGAGGGGTATTTTTCTTGCATGGTTACGGAGGGACTGATAAAACTTTCATGTGGAGAACACTATCAAGTGCACTTCGTTCTCAAAAAAAAATTGTTCTTATTGTTGCTTCAAGTGGGATAGCTTCGTTATTATTGCCGGGTGGAAGAACAGCACACTCAAAGTTCAAAATACCTGTGCCAACGCTTGACAACTCAACTTGCAACATCGACAAAGACACCGAACATTCTCAATTATTTGAAGCAACGGATGTGATAATATGGGATGAGGCATCTATGTCTCACAAGAACTGCTTCGAAGCATTGGATAAAACCCTTAAAGATGTAATGAGCAAAAAGGGTGTTGAGAATACTATTTTTGGTGGAAAAGTTGTTGTATTTGGAGGAGATTTTAGACAGATTCTTCCTGTTGTTTCAAGAGCTGGGCGTTCTGATATTGTTCATGCATCAATTAGTTCATCTTATGTATGGGATTATTGTCAGGTTTTAACACTATCAAAAAATATGAGACTTCAAGAGGGAAGAGACAACACAAGTTCTAATGAACTAGCGGAATTTTCAAAATGGATTTTAAATGTGGGTGATGGTAAGATTTGTGAACTCAATGATGGTTTGGTTGATATTGAAATTCCTCAAGAGCTATTAATATCAAATTTTGATGATCCTATAAGAGCAATTGTTGAAAACACATATCCCAATTTGTTGGAAAAATATCAAGATGTTGAATTCTTACAAGGAAAGGCTATTCTTGCTTCAACCATTGAAGTTGTGGACAAAATCAATCATTATGTATTAGACTTGATACCAGGTACATGTGTGTTATATATATATTTAAGAACATAGTTTTACTAATTTATTTATGTTTTTCTTTTAAACTTTTTTTTAGGAGAAGAGAAAGAGTATTTGAGTTTTGATTCCATTGATAGAACAAATTCAAGTTATACTGAAGCATATGAAGTTCTAACTCCTGAATTTCTCAGTAAATTAAGAACGTCAGGGCTTCCCAATCATAGGATCAAATTGAAGGTTGGTACACCTATTATGCTAATGAGAAATTTGGACCAAGCCGATGGGTTGTGCAACGGAACAAGATTAATTGTTACAAGATTTGCAAATCATGTCATTGAGGCAAAAATCATGTCTGGAAAGAACATAGGTAACATTTTTTACATTCCAAGAATGTCTATGTCACCTTCTGATTCACCTTGGCCATTCAAGTTGATTAGGAGACAATTTCCGATTATTGTCTCCTATGCAATGACAATTAATAAGTCACAAGGTCAATCTCTTGATAGTGTTGGATTGTATTTGTCTACTCCTGTGTTTAGTCATGGTCAATTATATGTTTCAATTTCAAGAGTTAAGAGCAAAAGTGAGCTAAAAATCCTAATTCATGACAAGGAGAATGTATCGTGTTCTACTACTACTAATGTTGTGTACAAGGAAGTCTTTCAAGCACTTTGATAGTTGGTAAACTTTATATCTTATACTTTACGATTCAAATTAAAAATCTATTTTGAATTAAAATATATAGTATGTACATTTTCCATGTATTTCAAGAAGTATATAATTTTTCCTATTTGTTCATGCAGACGTGATTTGTTGATAGGACCGACGCTTGCTACAAATATGGAGTTAAATGCCAACATAGTTTACATGAGACATATACTCAACTGAAAACATGGTAACATATTTAATAATTTAATAATCTATAAATGTAATGTGAATCCAGACGAGACCCGTGCGATAGCACGAGTTTGTTACTAGTTTTTTTTAAAGAATGATTCTCTTAAAATTTTAATTTTTGATCTCCATGATAAAATTATAGTTAAAATAATTTATAATTCTGTAGTTAAATTAAAAACTGTCGCTAAAACGATCATTAAATTATAAAAATCGTTGCTAAACTATAAGAGAGATAAAAAAATTAAATTTTAAATTTTTAAAAAGATCATTCTTTAAAAGAAAATTCTAGAGAAATTAAAAACAAAATTT